ATATAATATCAAGAAAAATATAACGTAAAAAAAAAGAAATAAGCTGAATAATTAATAAAAACAGTTAATTCAGCTTATTATAATATTAAATATTTCTAAAAGAATAAAATATATAAACATGAATATAAAAATATTTAAATATTTAAATAGTTATTAAGTTTATAATTATATTATAGCCTTTCTATTCAAAAACTTTAATAAAATTCACTTCATATATAAGTATAATATTAGAAATACTATATAAATACTTTAGTTTATATTTCTATTTATAGGTAGACCTTTTCAATATTTCTATTTAAAGTTAAATATATATTTTAGCTTAATAAACTAATAAAATAGTAATAGAGCTAGTTATATAATATAAAGCTAACAATATTATATATAATAAAGCTAATTATATTAAAGCTAAATAAGTTATTAAATTTCTTATAATTTAGTAATAGCTTTATTAAACTTCTTAATAAAGTTCTATAAATATTATTATATATAATATAACTTTTTAATTAGAAAGGTGATTAGAAGAGGTTTTTATAGCTAAAAAATATAAAAACTCTACTATATATAAAGCTTTATATTTATCTTTCTTTTTCTTCTTTTTCTTTATTTTTAAACTTATATTAATAATTCATTTTTATAAGTTATAATAAAAATTAAAACTTTAAAATCCTTATATTATAAAAGAAACATAAAAATACTAAGTTATTATAAAGTATACTTTTTTATAAGTAAATAACTAAAAATATTACAATATAAAATAATATCTATATACTTTATAAAGCTTTTAAATTTAATCTATATTTATTTATTACTTAATAATATATTATCAAAATAATAATAAATAAAACTTCTACAAATATTTCTAAAAAGACCCTCTTTATACTATATTTAAAGTAATCAATAATAACTTCAAATACTTGTATATAGAAGCCATATATATTATTAGTTATTTTAAAAAGTAGCTTCTTTTAATTTAAGCTTCTTATAACACTAAAATAGAAATAGTATAAGCTTAAATTTAAATATACATATAAACTTAATAAAGCTTAAATATTAATAAGTATACTTTATATAAAATAGAGAGAGCGTTATTAATAATAATATAGCTATAACTAGCTTAATTAAATAAAAAGTATAATAATTAATAAAATAGTAATAAAGCTAGGATGAATATTATAAGTAATATCTAAAAAAGAGAATAATTAATAGTTTAATAATTAATAATTAAGTAATTATAAACTATATTATTATTAAAATAAACTTAGAACACATAAGAATATTAATATATATATATATATATAACTAAAGTTAAAAAAGAGATATAATTAGAAACTTAAGAAGTTATTAAGAATTATATAACTAAAACATATATATATTATTAAGAGGTATAACGTTCAAAAGTTTATTACTTTAAATAAGTCAAAATTATAATAAATAGCTAAGAGCTATTTAAATAGTTATATAATATATAACTTATAATAAAAAAATTAAAAAAATAACTTTATTTTTATAGTTAATATTAAATATTTATAATAGCTATATATAATAGTTTAATACATATAAAAATATAAATGATTAATAGATTTATATTATAATATAAAATTTTAAACTACTAATATATTATAATTATTAGTAAATAATAAGTTAATATATTATTTTAATTTAGTTATAATAATCAATTTAAGTTTAAACTTATTAAGTTTATAGTTATAATAAAGCCTCTCTATAAAAAAACCATAGTAAAATCCACTTTATATATAAGTATAATTCTAGAAACACTATATAAGCATTTTAAGTTATATTTTCTATTAATCAAGGAAAATAGTATAGAAACCCTATATATTCTTATTAATAAGTAAACCTTTATATATAGTTAAATATATATTTTAGCTAAATAGACAGACTAATAGAATAATAATAGCGCTAGCTATATAGCATAAAGCTAGTAATAGCACTATTATATATAGTAAAGCTAATTATATTAAAGCTAAATAAGTTACTAAAGTTTTCATAGTAATAGCTTTATTAAACCTTTTAGTAAGATATTATAAATATTATTATATAAAAGATAATTTTGTAACTAAAGAAGTTATTAAAAGGGGTCTTTATAACTAAAAATACAAATATTTTACTATATGTAAAACTTTATATTTTTCCTTCTTTCTCTTTTTTACTAATTTATAATAAATCTTTTATAATATCTATACTATATAAAGAATATAAAAATATTAATTTTATACTAAAAATACTTTTTTTTAAAGACATAGCTAAAACTATTACTATATAATATAATATATATATACTAAATAAAGCTTTTAGTTTTAATAAATATTTTAACTCTAATTAGAAACGTTTTATTATAGTAGTATTAAATAAAACTTTTAAGAATACTTCTTAAAAGGATTTTCTCTATATTATAATTAAAGTAATAAATATCTCTAATAGCTTTAGAATAAAGGCTATATATATCTCTAGTTATTCTAAAAAGTAGCTTTTTTATATATAAACCCTTTATAATATTAAAATAGATATAGCTTAAGCTTAAATATAAGCTTAGTAGGGCTTAAATATTAATAAATATTCTTTATATTAAATGGAGAGAATATTACTAAGAATAATATAGCTATTATTAGGTTTATTAGCTTAATATACTACTTTATTTATAAATAATATAACGTATATTAAAAGCGTTAGCTAGCTTAATTAAACAAAAAGACTATAATAATAGTAATAAATAGCAAATAGTAAAATAGTACTAAGGATAGTATTAATAGTATAAGTAATATATAAGAGAGAGAATAAGTTAATAGTTTAATATTTAGTAATTAAGTAATCACAAATTATATTATTACTAAAGTGAAATTAAAGATTATAAAGTTATTAATATATATATATAAGTGCAGCTAAAGTTAAGAGAGGTAGTTAGAGACTTAAGAGGTTATTAAGGATTATATAACTAACGTGGTTCATCAGTCAGCCGGCCGGACCAGTCAGCCGGACGTTTTTTCCCACGTACACAACATCTAGTATTTCTCAACCATAACGCATTAAATCAACTATTAGTTGTCGCTATCAGAATCTCCTGAGGGTTCAACATCTTTAGAACAGGTTCGCGCGTTATGCCCAGTCTCACCACACATACCACAGCGTCTCCGAGCTGGCTGGGCTCTCTTTGATGGACCCCCCTCGTCGTCCTCTTGAGGTGCTGGACGTTTCCCTTTTTGTTTCCCTTCAAGCAAAACCTGAGATTCCTCTATACTAAGTGCCCCTCTAAGCTGGACCTGCGTTCTTTTAGCCCTCCAGCGCTTAGCAAGTGCTATATTCGCATCCTTAAGGGTACGAAGCCGATCAGTCAAAATAGTGATTAAGTGCGCTATTGCCTGCGCACCCTTTGACAATTGCTCAACTGCAGCAATAATTAGTGTCGGTGAGCTTCTTTGATAAGCAGAGATGCGACTTTTGATAAAGTTAGACTGCGAGACGGTTTGTTGTGGGTTAGAGGGCGTTTGCGACTGCTAAGGTGGAGGTGTTAAAGGGTTGGCTATAGGAGGTGTAGGCGTCTGTAAATGCACATCAAGCTTTTTGATGATATGGTCTGGGTCCTATGGTGAAATTCCAGCGCCTTAGAAAGCAGACCTGATGTTTTCCTCATTAAAAACCTTGTTGTAGGCCTAGTGGAAGGCAATAAAGAACTCAGACTTAGTGATGTGATTTATAGAGGCTCTGATGAATTAGTTGATTTCATCACTATATATGCGTTTCAAAGGCGAATAAAGGGCAATATCTAATAGCTGTAGTAGATGCGATAAATATACAGGCATACTGACGGTTACAATATTGTTCTGCTTGCAGTAATTATTGAACTCAGCTGATAAATAGCTCTTATAGCTGTCGATAATAAGCATCTGGTAGACGCCCTTCGTTTGGTTCTTAGTGTGTTTATTAAAGTGTTTAATCTAGCTAAGACCTATCTGATTGTCCGTCTATCTATTAGCAGTAGGTTTGATCACCTAGTTGCCTAGAAAACCTGATTCTATGGTCTAACTGGCAAGGTGATATACGCCCTTGACGATCACAAACGGAGGGATGCACCACCCGCCCAAATTGACATATTTAATAACTGTAGCCTATTTATAATTGCCAGGCTGGACAGACTTTGCTTTGCTGCGTTAATCAGCGCGTGTAACCACTATTGACGTGGTGATCATGCTTATCATAAAGCCAGTTTTATCAAAATTATATAGGTCCCCCTCTTGGATGCCATACTTAGCCATCATGTTGCGTAATAGCGCAAACTACTTTGATATAACCTCAGGATCTTCTTAAAGAGCCCTTTGATAATTATATGGACGATTAAACTTAGTTTTCAGAGCAGGCTATAAGTCCACAAACCGCCTAGCCTATTGCTTGCTAATAGGCTTGCTATTACACCCTCTCAACAGGAGATTAGCTATATCTTCTACACTATTGAGGCAGAAAGGAAATCCTCTAGAATCCTATTTAATAACGTATTAGAGAAGTGTTTTCTCTTCAATCAGATTGAGTTTATATTATTAGGGTTAAGCTTGTTTGCATTGCAGCCAGTTGTTCATTCTATCAGCTAAGGTGCTCTTTAGGATACCATAGGTCTTTGCAGCATATGAAATGCTTAAGTTATTACCTGCAGCGCGTGTCGATCGGATTGCTTCAATCGCGAGAATGACTTTGTCTTCTTGGGTGTAGATTGGCATTATGGTTGTTGAGATTTTACGCGTCAAAGGTTTAAGTGATTTGGATGTAAGAGTGTTTAGAAAAAAACGTCCGGCTGACTGATGAACCACGTTAAAGGCTTTATATATTATTAGGAGGCGCAGAGTTAAGAGGTCTGTCACTCTAAGCAGGTAAAAATCACAGTGAACAGCTAGAGGCTAAGTTTAAACTTATATTAAAACACTTTAAATATGTTTATGTCTTTAAATAAATAATTTACTTCATTTAAAATACTTTCCTAGCTCTAAAATAAGTTAAACAATAATAAGCTAAAATACTATTAGCAAAAACTTCTTAATAAACCTTTAGGTAACTTACCTCTATTAGCTTCTCAGTTAGAATGAAGCATTTGCGATCTTGATCCTGGCTGAAGTTGAAAGAACAAGATCGCCACAGTCCACTAAAACCCATATCCTCAAGGATCTCGTTAAGAACAGCAGTTGATTCTAGCGCGGAGCTGAATTTTGGATTTGAAGTCAAAGCGTGGAGGAGTGCCTGAGCTGACTCTAGTGTTGCAGAGTTCTGACAATGCAGCAAAACCTCGTCAAGAATGGGGACGATAGGCCCGCAGCTACTTCGGTTCAGCTATAATGCCCAGTCACACGGAAGGGGTAGGGGAACATACAGATGCATGATGACGGCCGGCCTTGCTGACGCAAGCTCAGTCAGCCAACGGAGAGTCCGGTTCTGCAGTGCGTCTTCTAGGTACTGAAAATCGATCAACTCAATCGCGGTGTTCAACAGCAGATCTTTGTCCTTCATGCCACTCAAATCGTCGTATCTGCGTGTGTTCGTTACATCACCCAGCACGGAAGGATTGATACCCGCCAGCCACAGGCTGTCTTTCAGCTCTTCACTTCCAACAGTTCGCGCTAGGATAAGCGCCATGTAGGGCGAACGTGAAATGATGTCCGATGGTCTTCCTGCCTCATCTGTGGAGTTGCCGGCCATATCGAGGAATGCGGACAGCACTCGCATCGCGTTGGTTTTGGTAGTAGTGTCGGCGAGGCCGCGTGCCAGACAGGCGCACACGGCAAAATGAAAATTTTCGTGCGTGAAGTGAATGCCGTAAGCTTCGTCCAGAGATAGAGCAGCGTCCTCTAACTGCACACGACCTTGGAGAAGAAGCGACCCCATCTTGTCTCCTCGCAAGTCCCCGACTGTGCTAATGTTGGTCATAACAGCCTCAAGAAACTGGGCCGTGCAGTTGAAAAGAGCTGGAGGAACCAACCGTAAGAGTGAAATGGCAAGCCAGAAGAGTTGTAATCCGTAACGCGAGGCAGAAGGCAACTTTGCCATCATCTTGGATAAAGAGGTGACGATGGAAATGAGCATGTCACTGTTGGTGTCATCTCCTAGACGACCTACGCTGTTGCGCAGTGCGACGAGAACTTGGTAGAGTAGGTCGTCGTCCACCTCCTCACGTGCCAGACAGCCCATGACAGCGAACGCGCGGGGTTGTATTGCTGGGTTGTTCTGAAAGGCCGTGCTGGCCACGAGGCTCATCCAGCGCGACCTCCAGGCATTGGATATGTCCACTGATGGGGCAGCCACAGAGCAGACCTCGAAGAGCAACGCAGCCAGGTTCTCAGTCGCAGCCAGCGACGGGCCTGAGTCTTGAGTAGTCGACATGGAAGCACCATCACGCAGGAACGGAGGTGGTGCTGCGAATATTTCGCTTCTTGGTTCGCTTAGGAAATCCAAGCTTCCCCTGAGCTTGTTGAAACGGGTGTCGTCCAGATTGAACGACGTACACGCCGCATGAACTGTGTTGACAAGAAGTCTGTGAACCAAGAGACGCACTTCTGGAGAGCCAGTGTTTGCCAGTATGGTGACAATGTGAAAGATCTCCGGTAGATAAAGCTGAGATTGCACACCATTATCAAACGACAAGGACAGGCAGAAGTGTAGAAGCACACAAATCTCTGCCCAGACGGCGTTGTCAGGCAAGTACCTAGTCGGTCGGAGGGAAGATCGGTTCAGTGCTTTTCGCAACCGGGAAATGACCTTCCCACGTAGTGTGATGCTGCCCATGCCCGACACTATAGAAGAAAGAGCCTCCATGGGCTCCTCGGAGTAGCTGAAACTCAAAGCTGACCGCATGAGTTCTTCAAGAAAAATATCCAGGACCGTCTCGTCTTGGTAAATGGCGGGCCATACGACTTGCTCCAGCGTATAGGTCAATGAATGATCGGTCATGGCCACGTCTATCAGCTTTCGGAAAAGAACCGCGACCTTCTCTTTGCCTTTCTCCGCGTCAGCTTCATTGGCAAGCACGGCTGTGCGAAGGCCTGGAAGCCATGGTGACATATAGGCAAGACTGAGAGGCTTCTGCTCCTCAGCAAATGTCTCCCAGCCGACGAAGAACTCAGTCAAGAAATCGAACGTCAGCTGAGGCTCAGACATCGCCAGTTGCCTGCTGATTTTGATGATGAAATGTGAAGGATCCATTGGTACGGAAACGTCTATACAAAATGGTTAGCAGTGTTTCAAGCGAACTGAAGTAGCCCTGGGGATTCAGTCGTGCATCACAGCATATTGATATTCTTACCCTTTGTACACATCAAATTTGATGCAGCGCTGAACTTGAATGCCTTGCACAGGGCCCCGAGTAGGTTGTAAGAAGAGAGCCTGAGCACGTGATCGGAACTTGACAGGTTGGTAAGTGCCAGGTTAAGTAGAGTCCCGGGAACGTCCTGCGGGCGGATAAGCCGTTCATAGGCCTTGTGAGCTCTCGTATCCTTGCCATACTTGGCCTTTGCGCCGCGAATCGTCTGCAATACGTCCGCCTTCTTGGGGCTGGTAAAGTACATGACGATCTTTCCGTTATCAGCGCGTAGGCCAAACGCAGAGTCATCTTCTGTCTGGATTGAAGTCGGCGCCTCTTCCACCTCACCGAGACGAAATATATCATTGACGGTCGTGCTCAACCTATAGCCAGGAAAGACCTCCTGTTTTTTTGTGGTTGTCACCTGTACGAACTGGCTGCCAACTTTGATGACAACTTCAATCTTACCCTTAGTCTTGGAAAGTCGGGTAATTGGTTGAAACACATAACGTGTGTCGGTGACGACGCTGATTGTTTCTTTGGGGAGGTGAAGTTGACTCAAGTGAAAATGAGCCTGGAGGTCCTGCAGACTACCGATCAGGTGGTAATCGACATTCTTCGGATTAAAAACGCTGGTGTCGCTCTTGGCGGACACCCGAAGGAGCCTTCGGAAGCATTTCCTGTCGTGTGTCAGTAGTGACATCCAGTGTCTTGGCAATGCTCATACCTGAATGCGCTGTTCATGTTGTAAACATATATCCTAACGAGATTTCTCGACAGCTCGACAGGTGTGAGAAGCTCAAGCTTCTTGAAGAGCTCATCTTGTGGTTCGTTCTGGCCGTTGTAGCATGTGGCATCGATGAGCAACCCGAAAGGCTTGTGCCAGAGGCGGCTTGCAATCTGTCGGTAGTCAGTCACAAGAATCGAGAACGAGTAACTTGCACATCTCGAGATGAATAGAAATGATCAGTGCCAACGCTGTTGGAGCTAGCATTGCAAGAATCGGTGAGGCGAATGATTCACCGCAACGTACCTTGAGATAGCAGTACAACAGCGTGTCATAGTCAATGCTCTCTGCATCAATGTGTCGCAGTATGATGCAAATAATGGAGAGGGAATCCTGTGTGGGCGAGCCTATTAGTTGACGGGCGAATTAACAGATGCACCAGAAGGATGACACACCTTGCTCTCGCCTCCATCGTAGACGGCTCTAGCAGTCACAAAAGATTCAGTACTTCGGAATGCGTTCCGAAGCATGAAGTTCTGGAAGCGGGAGTATGATGGTGGAGTATTCGTAGAAATTTGAGGCCTGTTCCAAGTGACAGCGAGTGGTGGGGGTCCAAGGTTCGTGATGAGGTGGCGCAAAGGCTCAAGAACCGGCGACCTTCCTCTAGATACCTCGGCTGGCGATCGCACATAATCTTTGCGTTCCTGGGTGACGAGCCTCTGCCGCATATGGTCCCAGTGATCGTAGAGGAATCTATGGAGGGCAACACAGGAACCGAAATCAAACGACTCGATGCTTGGCGGACTGTCGATCGTCTCTGGAGCCACCTGTAATGAGTAGTCAGCGGGAACAGCTAGGAACCGCGCAGGACAATTTGGGTCACCTACAGATATCTCGCGAAGGAAGGTAGTAACTCGATAGATGTTTTGTGTGAGAAAGTCATTCAGAGGAAACATGTAAGGCTCTTTCGCCCCAAAAAGGACGTTGTTCGCCAGATTTTGAATGACCTTGGCAATCAGGAGCAGGCCTCGGCGCATCTCCTTAGAGGGCGTCGTTGTCACTAGGCCCTCAACCTCAGGGGCAACAATTGCTGGGCAAAAGAAGCGAAGGAAGACAAAAGCCCCAACGGCGGTGTACTTGGCCTCTTGAAACCTCGGCAGCACAGCAGTGGATATCTGGTAACCTCGTGTCAGACGTTGGAAATTGGAAGATTCAGCGCAGCTTGGCGCACGTACGATGTTACAAATTTTGCGGAACGACGCTGGCATGCTCGTCGAGGATGCGCAGATATCATCGATGAATACTTTAGCCACAATCCGTAGCTGGAGGGCGTTCTTCTGCAACTCATCTGTGGAGCTGACCCTGGCAGGATCCAGCTCGAGATCTAGATCCTTTGATGTAAGCATCAATCTCTCTACGACCTTTTGCAGCGTTGCCTTGAGATATGGCTGTCCCTTCCACTTCGCGTAGACGGACAGCATCTTCGTGGCGACACAGGTTCGCCTAAGGATCTCGGATTCGTTATCTTGCCCAAAGGTGTACGGTCAGCCTCACACCCCACATGATGCAGTCAACATCCGCAGTCTTACCTGTTTCCTCGATTTCCTGCTTGATGAGAACCTCCAACAACTCAAAGCTAAGGCCCCGATGCTCGAAAATGGTGAGCAAAGATACAGTTAATTCGTCGACTTCACTGCTTGGACACACGGCACTCATAGCGGCAACAAGCGTCATGTCCTTGGTTAATAACTAAGACAGGTGTTAGACAGCACTGGTGAAGGTTTTCTTTCTGAAAGAGGGGAGGGTATGAGATTTGATGGAGTCAACTGGATTCACACACCTCTAGCAACTCATCGTACTTCTCGCTCACAGCAGCGTCAGTCAGGTTACTGAACTCCGTCCCTTGTATGAGTATGTTGTACAAGACCTTAACAAAAGCCGTCCGGATTTCGACGTTGTCGTGATAACCAATATTTAGAGAGTGTTTCAGACCAACATCGATATTCGCACTCAGCAGGTTCGAGAGAATGGTGATGGCAAGTTCTGAAGTCGGGGTGCCCTCGTCTCGGCTTGCAATTCCAGCCGGATGGTCGCTCCTCCCACTCTCGGGAGATTCGTGGTTGAGCAATGATAGGAACCGATTGAAGTAGGTGTGAAACATTTGTGACTTGAGCTCACTCATGCCGGCGTCGGTTTGACCCTCCCCAGGTTGAAGTGGAAGACGAAAGGTAAGCTCAGCTAGTGACCTGAGAGAAGCTCTATCAAGGTCTTTCTGCACCCTCACCATCTCATCTAGGCGGCCGCCTGTGCTAGCTGTTGAGTCAAGTCGCGGGGAGCGGGGCCGAGCAATCCAGCCAAAAATGTACTCAAGAAGCTGGTTCCGGATGCGCACGTCGTCTCTCAGATTTAAATGCTCCTTCCTCTTAGTGACAGCCTCGCACAACTGGCACACCTTGATCTTGACGCGCAAGGTGTTGGTACTGTCATTGACGCCGTCTAAGAATTTGGCAAAGTTGAGAGCGAGCGCTCCTAGGTGAATGGAGGAGGCTGCACCAAGGTCTGAAGGGCTCTCAAGACGCTCCACCAAAGCTTTCAAAAGCGATATGGCCTGCTCAGCGAAGATGATCTCAACATCTTGGGCTTTGTCGCTCGGAGCCAGTGCGCCGGTGAACAGGACCTCGAGTTCAGATTCTAGTGCTCTGAACAGAGACTGATAGAGTGTGGACGAGACTTCGCTGGACAAGACTTCCCTTGTAGCCTCCCTAATCCTGACGCTCGCACAGCCGAGTAGTTGAATGCTCAACTTGAGATATCGACCAAGCAGAGGTTCCTCGTGGTTTTCGGATGGCAGCCTATCGATCCACCTTAGACCACTGATGGCTGGCTCTTCCATGATGATTGCTTGGTTTGCAGTACAAATTCCCCCGAGCGATGCCAAGAAGCCGGAGTAATTGCGCCATTCCGTCAAAGTCCGTTCGTCAACCGCATCAAGCGCGGCCATGGACACCTCCCTGGAGAGAAGAAGCCACCTTTCGAAGCCATACTCCCATGCTGAAAGGATACCGCTGGTTGGGTATTGCAGTCGTCGGAGCAGTCCGCGAACTCTCTTCTGAAAGGCAACCAGTCCAGTGAAGCGGAAGGCTCGTGACGCGATCTCCCCATACACCTCGCCATTTCGGAGTAATGTGGCAAACATCTTCGCAGCGTCCGAAGAGACGCCAGCAAGATTGTTCTCTTCGTAGAAAATGCCGATGCATGAAGTCACAGTTTGGCAGGTGTCAACGTCTGCGGAACACAGAGATACAAGCAAGGTCGTCTCGAGTCTAGAAGACGCGGCTTCTACTTCAGGCACGTCATCGGGCAACTCCGCAAGTTCCTGCATAGACAAACGGCGTGTTAGTCTCGCGATTTGGAATGATCATTGCGTTACTTACACTGAGAGAAGCGAGTAGAAATTTGCGTGCTTCAAGAAATTCGTGAATCGCCTTAACCTCAGGCCCATCACCGTCAGATGTGACTTGGTTACACATATTGAGAAGAACAAGAGAGCTATTCGGCGCAACTTAGCCTGGATATGGACACTCAAACGGGAACAGAAATGCACGCCTTACCATCGTCTCCAAAATTCACGCCTAAGACCTAGGGATTTCAATCTGCTGCGAGATTTAATTGTGTCAAGAATGGTGCTGTCAGAGAGGAGGCGCTTCGCAACACCAGTAGCGAGTCTGCGAACAGTTGAATTTACAGACACAACGCACGATAGGAAGGACAAGAAGGCATCTTCCTCTGCAGCACCCGCACCTGGCTCGCCGGATCCATCTGCGTTGAAAAGCGAGTGTGGGGACGCATCAAGAAACTTGAGCACGTCGCACGCCATGTTCGTGGAGGAGTGAAGGTTTGAATCACGCCGGGGCATGGCGAGTACAGTGGCAGTGGTTTCTGTCGGTAAGTCCGCTACGGCCTGCGATCCGGTTAAGTCAGGTCCTCAAGACGTCTTACGGGAGCAGAAATGTGGGAATGGACACCCGGAGTTGCATACCTTCAGCTGAGCTCGCATATACGGCCCCGCCACCGCGAATATCTGCTCGTACCTATACGAGTCGGCTTGGCGCGCAAAGTATCGGCAGCCCTGCACTACGGCGGTCTTGAAGGGTTGTGGCGAAGAAGGGCTTAGATATGATTGGAGAGAATCAACACAACTGTCCGGACTCAGTTGTGCTAAACTAACAAATGCCGCTGTCATTAGGTCCTGGTCAAGAAGAGAGGCATCGTTGCTACCACGACGAAAAACTGCCTCTCTGACCTCGTCTTGTACATCCATGGCGTAGCTAACGAGCGCAGCGTCGTCCTCAGCAACGAAGTGTCGAGCAGCTCTGAGCAAAGAGACGAGAGAGTATGCCGCCTGTTCGTTTTTGTTCCTCAATGCTTTCCGCAAGCCGTCCAGAAACCCGACCTTCTTGGCCATGCTCCCGCTCTTCGCATCTCGCAAGTTGCTAGCCACTTCAAAAACGTCTGGCAGAAGAAACAGTAGGGTGGTCTGGAGCGGATAAAGCATTCCTTTTTTCCGTCCATTTTCTACAACAGTCTGTGTCATGTCGAAAAGTGTGTCAGCGCCGCCGTCGAGACGTTTATGTAGCGTATGTTGCTGAACAAACTCATGGGGATACCGTTCTAACCAGCGCGTGATGAGAAGGGGTGCCACCACAGCGACAGTGTTCTGGAACGTCTTCCGAAAATGGAGGAAGCTGGAGCAAATCTCCTGGATGATGAGTCCCAGCTTCTGTGCATCCACCCAAAAGAAGGACAGAATCTTGAGAACGGACAGAGCCGCCTTGTCGTCATCTGGGGCAGTAGCAGATTGCCCCGGTGCCGCTTGCACAACGGCGGCAGTACGAACCGTGTACACCACGTTTCTGAAGTAGTCAAAAGAGCTTGACCAAGTGGATGCGGTAACGTATTCGACAATGACTCTGATGCAAGGCTCCATGATCGCCAGATGAGAAGTGGATAGAGTTTCGTCTTCAGAGCTATAGGTTCCAACAAGCAGCGGCGAAGCGATGCCGCTTGGAGGGCTGAATACTGGGTTGGCGGTTTGTCTCGTTTCATCGTCTAAAATAGTGGATGATGGGAGGGCGAATCCTTCAGGTATAGGTTCCACGAGCCACTTGAGCAACTCAAAGATGCGGGTAACGAGAGCTTCGTCCAAGGGCTCAGGAGCTTGTGTAGGAGAGTTGCGACGCGTCCCCGAATCAACGGCAGGCTGACGTTGCTGCGACTTGACATGATCCCAGTGGGCTGTACAGCAGTCGGCAGCCAAGGCTAGTATGTATATCTCGGAGAGGAGGACGTGAGGAGGATGAGTAGGCGGAGGAAGCCCTTTGTAGTTTCGAATTATATCTTCGAGGAGGGCGACGAGGGAGTCCAGTACAGAGGCAGCAGCGGTAGTGCTAATCTTAACAAGTGTGGACCTTGTGATGATGACGATGTCGTCTTGTTGTAGTTCTTGGCCGTGGGTTCCTGTCCTGTGAGGGAGCTGTGGAGGCGCAAACACCATACAAGGTCAGTCACGCGAACTCGAGAAGGAGGCGAGGCAAGTCGACCCAAGATGGACGGCCGAATCGCATCTTCACAGCGATAACAACTCACCCTGGTAGCAAGTCTGTCAACCAGGCACCCGACGAGACCAGCATCGCCGTTCATTTCTGCTAGTCGAGGCAGTCGGGTTCATGACCGCACGCGCCTGCGCCGGTTTAGTTTCCCTTCCTTCGTCCGGCTTGACTGAAGACAAGCCAATTGAATCTTGAACCTCGGAGTGTGGAAGTAAGACGGTTGCGGGGCGCTACGAGAGCTGGGTTTCAAAATATCGACGCCCAACAAGAGCAGCGAGGATGGCAAAGGCCAATTGAAATTCGATAGTGTGGCGTGCGGTCGGTGCGTTACTGACGGCGACGGTGGTGATGCTGAGGACAAGAATATGGGCACGCAAGTCGGTTTTCAGATATGGATGCTACCTCAGCCGTGACGTTGTGGCGGACAAACTGAGGTTTAGGATGCAGGACTGTGCTTTTCGTGACATGGGCACCTTACCTGACCGATGGGCTGCGAGGTATCCGTAAGATAGAGGTAGACTCGAAGACCTTACCGGTAGTGAGGTGCTAGTCAGCCGAGGCAGGGGTTTGACGGCGTATCTGCCTTACCTCAGGTACACTGTATGTGCTTAACCTACCTAGGTACCTTAAGTTGCCTACGGAGTAGGGAGAACCAGCGAGTGCGGGGGCATTGGCTAAAGTGGATTGCAGCGCAAGGTGGGTACACTGTAACAGTGCGATTCGAATCGCGCAACGCGCTGCATAGGGAACAGCACGACCGCTCTTTAGCCCGTGGTGTGAGACAGGTGTTGATAGCAGTTGTGTGCCTGTATGAGGTAGGATTTCAGATCGTGGAGGGGTAATAACAGAAACTCGGCCTACTCCTGTAGGGGAGGGAACATCACCTCTGGCCGACAATGAGGTTGAGAGCAACACACTAGCTACATGGCTATCGCCAGAGGTACACGGTCTAATCCTCTTTGGGCATACTTAAGAACTTCGTACGAAAATTGGCAGTGGCCCCCACAAAGGCATCATCAACTTGGAGTGAACAGTCCCATCAGCTGCCTGATTTAGATCCCTTCTCTCCCAAACCTCAGAGTAGGCATTTGTCTTCAGTTTTTCGCCAAGTAGGTACGTTATCTTTAGCACTACCCAATCGCCGGCGCCGGTGCCTTCCAACAGCAGAGTCAATTGCGGACCAAGTCGCCCTCCGCCGAGGTAGCACCATAGCGGCAACCTGCCACACATCCGTCGTCGACCTTGATATTCATTCTAGATATGATCTTACGTCCAAACATATCATCACATTGAAGCCTAACTCTTGTGCAACTCTGCATTTTTACTGGAGCTCATACTATCTGACATATGGCATGAATTCGGCAGTGGCGGCTCCTCATCCCTTTTCATCATCCGTTTTCTTCTACTTTCACACAAACGCTTCCGTCGACACACCCCAGCATAGCTACAATTGCATGTGACTTCAACTACCTGTGGTTGCGTCCGCCGCCGTAACCCCCACCAAAGCCGCCGCCGCCGCGACCACCTCTGTGCCCCCCACCCTGATACCCGCCGCGCCCACCACGACGACCTCCGTCATTGTGATTCGCATACTGGCTTTGGATGGGCGGAGGTCCGTAGCTTTGATACTGTCCATATCCCCCGCCGCGAGAGGATCCATTCGAGTTGTGGAAAGCTGGCGGGGGCGGGGGCGGTAGTCCCATCCCGAAGCCCGGGTGACCTGGTGGTGGAGGCTGCCATGACTGGCCCTGCGGTGGTCCAGGGGGGCCATACCCGTGTTGCATGTAGTTGCCATTGCCCGAATGCCGTCCGTTTCCGCCGCTTGGGGCGTAACTGAACTGATCTCTGCGCCCTCCACGGTTGTGGCCATTATGCCCCAGTGGCGCACCACCGTAGCTCCGTCCTGACCGAGATGATTTGCTCTTGAGCGTCTCGATGTCATTGCGGTCGAGAGCTGCTGTAGGCAACTTAACGCCACGCAGCAACATAGACTTGTGAGGGTGCGAGCTCGCCGGGAAGGAATACCAGACGCTGTAAAATGTATTAGCTTGCTGTGCAGGATACGGAAGCCATATGTGGCTAGTTTCGTTGTGACCAACGTACCTCAGGGACCTGTCGTAATCAAGATTGGGCATGCCGCCGCGCTCCAGAGGATATACTAGTTCGCCGTGGGGTAGGTAGTCCGGAATCTTCTCAATCTTGCCAGACAACCCGTCGCTCGTACGCGGGTTAAGCTTCAATGTTGGTTCTCCTTGCTTCTTGGAGTAAAAGTTGGTGGTGATCTCATCGTACAGATCGTGATGAGCATCCGAAAGCAGCAAGACATCCCTGCCCACTCCATTTCTGGCCCGGTCTGCGGCACTAAGAAGAGGGTACTTCTTCTCTACGGCAGCAAGTAACCTGGGCATCTCAATAAATGGCAACAATGCCACTCCCTGCCAAGCCATCTTTTTGCCATTCAAGTCAATCTCGAAGTCGGTAGGGTAGAAGTCAATGACCTCGCTGTCCTCGTTCAACATGAGATCGTGGAAGACCTCAGGTAGAGCGTGGCGAGATGCCGCAGGCAGCACACTCATCAACTGCTCAAAAGGTCTGGAAATTCGCCCTTTCTCGAACGCGATTTCCATCTTGTCCAGTTCCACAAAGTCTGCCGCGAAGGGGGCGTAGTGGTAAGGGTAGTACCACTCCCATGATGGGCAGCCTTGAAAGTAGTAGAGCAGGACCCAAGACAGACCTTCAACATACGCTCTGGCAACCTGATGTCGGAACTCAATGTCCTTGCGGTCAACATGGAACTTCTGTTCATAGTATCTGTCCGCGTAGCCCTCCTCCCACATCCTCACATGGTCCATTGCCGCCTCTTCGGCCGCAGATGGTGTGCTTGTTCCCGCCGCAGGGGTAGGAGTCGAAAGCTCATCAGGTTCACCATCAGCCTTGCGCTTGCCAAGAATCGACTTCGCGTCCGTCGAAGCGCTTGGGGCATCGACCTTTGCAGCTTGACTTGCATCGCCTTCTGGTATAGGTTCGGCTTTGGACATCATGCCCTTGATCTGATCCCTTATGGCGCTTGCTGCACTCTTGTTGGCGGAGTTAGCATTCATGTTCGATGATCGACCAACGACCATGTCGTGAGTGATCCCATTAGGACCCCCTGCAGCAGGGAATAGGGGTAAGCCTGCAGCAGCGTTGTCAACCTGCTTTGGCCGAGCGTTCCTTGGTTGGTTACGCTCTTCTTGAAGCTTGCGACGTTTGGCGTTGGCCTCCCTGCGATCTTCTTGTTCCTTCCTCCTTTTGAAGATGCCGTCCTCTTGCTTTGCAAGTCCGTTGAGGATTAATTGCGCCCGAGCAAGATCAACGTGTCCGTCTTTAGTGACGTAGCCACCCATATGAGGGAGGTTGTCTTTCCAGATCGCTGTCAGAGTGTCGATACCGTTCTCGCGAATCTCCAGTGCGGGCAAGTGAGGCAAGAAATCGTTGCCCACGAAACAACACATGAAAACCCAGTCGTCAAGAGCTCTCTCCAGATCAAAACGGAAAGGCAGGCCAGGAACATTGAGCTCAACAGCCAGGTACTCGCGTAAAATTGAGACATGCAGCCAGATGAAGGGTTTCAGTGCTGGCGCCTTTTCTTGTTCATCGAACTCGCCAACTTTCTCCTTGGCCTCGCCGCGGCAATTTCGAGCCTCGTGACCCTTCTGCCCGCAAATCCTGCATACCCTCGGCTTGCTGTCTTGAAAGAAGACATCCTCTCGCAAGACTCGGAAATGAGGCTCGTGAGTTGCGAGACCCAGCATAATCAGATCGGCATCAAGACCGTAGATGACATGGCGCGTGTTTGGGTCATAGTCTGGCGAGATACGCTGAGACCGAACAAACGACATGATCTTGTGCTCCCCCTCACCGGGTACTGTGGCATCTGAGATGATAATTTTGAGCCTAGCCCAGGCCGGGTCCGTGCTGAGCTTGTATGCGCACCAATATCTGAGGCTCGCAGCGAGTATGTCCATGAAAGGGGTCCCAGGTGTGATGGAGTTGGAATCAAATGCCTTCTTGGTCATACTCTCAAGTGTCTCTTCTGGGATAACGCCGCCATTTTGCTGTTTTAGGAGCTTCATGAGCTCTTCTTTATCCTCCTCCTTCTGCTGAGCGTCTTGAGCGGATCGGAAACGTCGCGAGCGCTGTTGGTTCATCTTGGCACGAGGAGCCACTCCGTCTAGCCAGTAGAGGTCAGTGATATTGTTGCAAGAGACTCGCAATGGACGCAACGCGGAAAAGGGAGGCAGGACATACCAACAGCAATCATTAGAAGCTTTCGCGGCCGAACCATATTGACAACACGGTCTGTGTACCTGAATACCTCGAGCATCATCTCCTCTTCGTCCTTGGGAGCTGGGCGATCCTCAGGATGAGAACAAGGATGCACGATGCCGTTCATGTCGAGATAGAGATTGTCTAGTTCCTCGCCGTTTGGATTGGGGCCGGTGGTGTCAACCGGGATTTCAGATCCATCATCCATCTTCACAGGCTGCTCCTCGATCACCGGCGAAATGATCTTTGGATACTTGTTGGAAAGCCATCGGAAAGCGGCCGGGATACCCATCTTGTCTTGGGTCAAGCAGTGACGCTTTGCGCGCGGGATAAACAAATTGGTGGTGCTTGAAGAGCGAATGGAGCTGAAGAGATTTCTTGTGTCCCAATGGCGAAGCAAGGAATCAGAAGTCTAGACCAAGGGAAAGCCGGTTCAGCCAGGCTTCTCACAAGCTTGGGTGAAAAGGTAGCTTGTCGACCAATGCGACAAGTCCTGATTGCGGTGATGGGTGCGTTTGAACTCGGCGATGCGCTTCCCTCCAAGCGCTGAATGAAGATGGAGCGACTGTCAAGTTGGCAACGCGACGGACTGCGAGGCGCCTCAACGCGTACGCGCGTTAGAACCCGAAAGAAAGCAAGCTGAGCGCAACTGGAATTCGCGATCTCAAGGCGGAGACAGGGACGTGATCTGCTCGACACTGTTTGGAGCTCGTCGACATAAACAGAGGCGAGCTAGGGATGCTGACGGACAAACTGCGAAAGTCCCAAAAATCGGGATTCCAA